TTTTTTTTTTTTTTTTTTTTGCCATCAAATAAAAATAAAAAAGATTAATTGGCCGCTTACATATTGTACCTAACAAAATTCTCTCAATATTTCATGCAAAAATTCTATCAAAATCCCCCCCCCCCACTCTCTCTCCCACGCCCAAACTAGAGAGAGAAAGATATTGAAATTCTCGCCGGAAGCAGAGAGATTGAAATTCCCGCCGGAGAGGAAGAGGGAATTTCTACAGAGCCCCAGAAATTAACCCTTTTTTTATTTTTATTTTTATTTTTCTCAGCGAAGGGAGAGAGAGAGAGAGAGAGAGAGATGAAAGGGGGAGAAGAAGAACGGAGGAATCGGGAGAACACGAAACCGTACAAAGGGATAAGGATGAGAAAGTGGGGGAAATGGGTCGCCGAAATTCGTGAGCCCAACAAACGCTCCCGAATCTGGCTCGGTTCCTACTCCTCTCCCGTCGCCGCCGCTCGAGCCTACGACACCGCCGTCTTCCACCTCCGTGGCCCCTCTGCCCGTCTCAATTTTCCCGACTTTTTCACCGCCGCCGCCGCCACCGACCGCCCCTTCCCCTTCCCTGCCGACATCTCCGCCTCCACCGTCCGCAAGATCGCCGCCGAGGTCGGCGCCCGTGTCGACGCCCTCGAGTCCTCTCTCCGTCACCACTTCCACAACTGTAGAACCGCCGACCAAACTCACCAAACTCCTTCCCTGTCGCCAACCACGACCACGACACCCACGAAGCTTCGTTCTGATTCTGGCGGGTTTTCCGACCGGGTTGACCTGAATAAATTGCCCGACCCGGAAGATTCCGACGGCGACTGCGCTAGCACTCCCTGGATAACCTGACTGTTTGAAATCGTAAATACAGCCTTTATTTTTGCATTTTAAATCAAGTTTAGGAATTCACTTTAACTTTAATTATCGTTACTATTATGAATTACCATTTTAAATTTTATGCCAATTTTTTTTTACCTATAATTGTAGAACTAAGCAATTTTACAATTATTGTTATACTTATTACATTTTGTTTAATGTGTAATATTTTTAATCCAAAACTAAAATCAAAATTCTAAATTTATAAATCAAATACAAATTAAAGTTAAATTTAACATTTAGGAATAAACTATACTCAACTATCTACGTGTAAAGAGTTTTTCACTAAATAGAACAATATTTGGGAACGGTGTGCCTTGTTGGATGATGAAAGTCCCACATCGGCTAATTTAGGGAATGATCATGAGTTTATAAGTGAGAAATACTAACTCCATTAGTATGAGGCCTTTTGGGAAGCCCAAAGCAAAGCCATGAGAGTTTATGCTCAAAGTGAACAATATCATACCATTGTGGAGAGTCGTGTTCGTCTAACATGCCTGAGCCATACATCGAACGACACAAGTCGTGTTCGTCTAACATGCCTGAGCCATACATCGAACGACACAAGATGGTATGTCAGTAGGAATGTTGGGCCCTGAAGGGGGTGGATTTAGTGGCGATCCCACATTGATTGGAGAAAGAAACGAGTGTCAGGGCCATTACAGTTTTGTTATACTCTTTTCAATATACCGTAGCTTCTCGTTCTCAGCTTTCTCATCATACCTCGGTTTACTGAATAGTTAGTCGAGTTTGTGTTGCTATTAAGTTAAGTGTTGTATCTTTAGAGGCCGATAATTTCCTTTTTTTCCCTCTATTAATTTACACGTTCCATAACATAATCATATACTTTGATTTGTTTTACATTTTGTATTATGTTGTTGTAATGTTGTTCATGTACTTTCTCCATCTTTAGATTCCAATATATTTATTTATTCTCCCAATGCTATTTTAGCCCCTCTATTTTCAAATATTTTAGTTTACCCTATAAAGTTAATAATAATAATAATAATAATATTACATATCTTAATAAAGAAGTAAATGTCTTGTAGGGTTTTTTAAAATAATTAAATAATTTTTTTTGCAATTATTAAAACTATTTTTATTACAATTCAAAGATTAAACAAAAGCACTCATACTAAAATTAGGTGAAGACCTACATGACTAAATTTATACTTAATTTGAAATTATATATATAATATATATATTTAATTATTGATATGAAATATAAAATAAAAATCTAAAGTGCCAAAGGGTAAGTTCAACCAAAAGGCTTTTAAGATAGGAGAAAAATTATTTAGTACTCCTAAGTTTGAATTATATTACGTTATAGATTAATTTAAGGGCGTTTAAGTAATTTTATAGCTCGAAGAGCTTAAATTACTCGATCTAAACCATAAGGATTGGGTTGAGCTTGAATTATTGGACATTTTTTTTTTATTTAGTTCAACTCAAAATGAATTTCACGTAATATATGAAGCATTGTCGTACTCGACTTCATAATTGAATTCACCTTTCACTCTCTCGGGTCTCAAACTCATATCTCGTCTCTTTACACATATGACTTGTCACATTTTTATCTTTTCATCCTTGACTTTCTAGTAGTTGCTGACAATCGGCAAATACGTGAATTCATTACACTTTTGTTTGTCGAAAGGTACATCTCACAACCTCGATCAGTTCCACTCAATTTTCAAACGCATGTCGTTGACAAATGTGGGGTTTTATTTTTATTACACGCTTGTCGTTGTTCAATCAAAAGCTCCCTACATGTTCTAGGCCTTCGGTGCCATTCTTCTCCTTGCTTTCTTGTTCAGTGCCATGATGACACTCAAGGAATCAAAGAGATCATTGTAGTTCTTGATCAACCTCAATTCTCATTATCGTTCTAATAAATGTTTTCACACTCTTATCAACTAAATTAATCATTAATTATTTCCATTATAATATTTGTCATTTTATTTTCAAATGTCCAAATTTAATCACTATACTCAAAGTTTAGAGACTAAACCATCTTAAAATTTTATAGACCAAACTCGTAATCTAATATAATAATCAAAATAAAGAACTAACAATTCGAACATAGCTCGACACATAAATATAACCATGATAACAATTATCACGACGATTGGATGTGTTACCTGTAAATATAAAACAAAAATAAAAAATAAAAAAAAAGTAAAGAAATGTGGAAATGGAGGAGGGGTAGGTGATTATTAAAGGGTGTAGGAAGTACAACTGTATAGCACTGTTGTAGGGAGTTGTGATGATTTGGACGATGATTACTCCATGATTGGCGGAAGATTCTATTTCTTCCGTTTTTACTTTTCTCCAAAAAAACGTCTCCTTTTCATATTCATCTTTCCCATCCGATCAAAATATTTTCATCCTCTAATTCATTATGTTTTTATCAATTAATTAGGACAATTTCGTGGAAACATAAAGATAAAACGATAAATTCAACGATAAATTAAATGATAAAGTACTCTTAGGTAAACAGTTTCTGTGGGGCGTAGGTCTCCCAAAAAGTAATTGAGACATGCAAGATCAATTTAAAAACCCTTATTCCATAAACATAGACTAAAGAAATATATAGAACAAATCTCTATCATATTATGTCCAGTAGAATGAATTGCTTGAAGTATGAATGGTATGTACCTTGTGGTCTTTGCACCTGTCGTAGGTTGTGATTGTTTAATGTATATGTATTATATTAATTTTGTATTGTGAACATGTTATGTTGTAATGATGAGGTATGACATGTTATAGAATATCATGGTGACACATCATGCCATTGAAAATCGTGCTATGTTATGAAAGTGTTATACTATATTATATACTACATTATGAGGTGACAAAATAATTACGTTACATATGAAATGAACAAAGATCAATCTTGTATCATAGATACGCCATGATTTTCAACTAGGGATTTCATGCATATTATATGTTCACCTGCATTGAGATACTTCTCTGTTATGATTAGTACTGACGTGTGCACGACAATGTTATGATATGATATTATGTACACCATGATACTATGCACTCTTCCTTCCCTCCATAGTTAGCATAAGAGTACGCTAGTCAAACTCAAATCAAGGAGTATGTATACAACTCACTTTGAAAGTACGCTAGTCAAAGTCAAATCTAGAGATACGTATATGATCTCGCTTGAAAGTCCATGTGTGCATATGTGGGTCATATGTAGAAAACATTGCAATTATGCTATACATATAGAAAATTAACGTCGTTATAACGTCGTTACATTAGACTTCTGTAATGTTATATGTAATTGTCACTTCAATCATAAACAGTCCCTGCTTCAACAATCTTAGATTCAAACAAGTTCAAATGTGTCTGTGTCGGCAACTATATCGACATTTAAAAGGCACCAACTCATGAACATTGTCCTTGTTCTTGTTTTGATGTTTCAATCTGTCTTGTTGACGACTAAAAATTGTCAAAGAAGACATTTGTTTGACACTAAAATACATTTATCAACGAAATCTCTGCGACTTGTGAAAGGTGTCACAAATTTGTATATTTTGATAAGAACACAGTTTTTATTAGTTTTATGATTAAAACAAGATCATATCCATTTATACAAAGTGTTGTGTATATTAATACAATCATGACCCAAAATTGTATGATTGCATTTCAGAATCCTCATACCTAACAGCATGCAGATTGACTCTGATTCTGAGTACAGGAAAATCATGTCCTGTTTTCTTCAGCCCGTTTAATCTGTAGAGCAGCTCTTACCACATTGCCTCTTGTGATAATCCCAACCTTCATGAAAGGTTTCATCATTTTGATGGCAAAAACAACCAATAATTCAGATGAGAGGGTTGGAATAGATAGATATGTCTTACCAGCTTTCCATCCGCATCTACCACTGGAAGGCGGCGATACTTAGTCTGAAGCAATAATCTGCATTTGACAAGTTACAAATGGTTCAAAGCGAAGAAGTTAAGGAAATGATATAAGAAAAGTGGAGAGAATCATGTTTGAACCTAGCAGCGTCCTCAAGATCACTATTTTCTCTAACGACAAGAGGCACCGGTGTCATCAAATCGCCGACCACCTTTCCGTTGGTTTTACTTAGAAGACTTTGTACCTCGTTGAATGTCTACAAGGATGATGATTTAGAATTAGAGAAACCATTTGTGCAGCAGATTTTCATTTCATGTCCTCTACAAACTAGTACCATATGAAGGAGTTGAAATAATAGATCAACCATAACTCGAATTCAAAGCCATATAAGTGTTTTGATCATCAGTCTGTTTTCATGAGCAAGAAAAATGAACCACAACCATAAATGAGAAAACAAACCAAGACCCATGAAAATGAAATCTTTGACCAGTGAACTTAGCCTCATGCTTTTTGCTAATATTACCCGAGTTGTTGAAACTGAAAGGTTCAAGCTCTTTTTGAAATAAAGGCTCTTACAAAAACAGTGATCTTTTCTAATCCTGTGAGTATCTTTGACCAGCTTGCACACACCTAGACTATTCTCAACTCGTAGGATATCAAATTCTAGGTTGGTGGTCACCATGACTTGAACCAATTCCGTCTAAGCTCTTTATTATTTACATGGTAGATTAGAACAGTGACTCTTACCTTCTACTTTTCACAAAGTTATGTTATCTACTTCTTTTAAGACTCAGAAGAAATAATTGAATACATAAAGTCCAAGGTAGCAATGATAGTAAAGAGTATGAAGCAAACAACAACTACAATTAAACGCCAACAAAGGAGGTCAATGCATACTTTCCACGTGCTGTCAACTTCAGGAAACATGCTTCCATCCGTCGTTCCACCACCTAATTAGAACATTCGGAAATCTTGTCAATCTAAAATACTTGACCTGATGCAAAAATATTCTCAGGTTAAAGTAATGACTAACATAATTCATGAGTAACAAATGATCTGATGCATCTTTCAACATAAAGAAAAATTTGGGAAAAAAATTAATACATCCAAGAAGCTAGATTCTCTCTTCATTAATGCTGTCTGTAATTCGCCTGAAAACATATCATAGCAAGAGATGGTACAAATAGCCAAACACCAAAGATAAGACAACTGAACAAT